ATATTTACTTACTTTGGCGACAATTTCATATTAGGGATATTAACCTTTACTTAGTAATTTGGATCCGAAAGTAAACGCCATATTACTAAGTTATTCAGAAGACAGAATGATGAGTGAAATAGTACTCGGATACTTATTCTAACGAAACCGAATAATGACAATCATTTAGCCTACCAATATGCCGCTTACTTTCAGTCTTAATTTAAAGACAAATTTAGTTGCTCACTAAATTAATAGTTTCAGAAGACTGCTCTACTCCTGTCTTCGAAATACTTTGCCCGATCGTGTTTTACTTCAAAATATTTGTATACTGGCCAGTTGATGTTGCTTATCCAGTTACACTGTTTTTCAGTTACAATGTCCCACCTATTTCCTATCAAACGAAATATCCCTCAAACCATCAACGAGTAACCATCGTTTTTAAATAAATAACCTTAACTATTCGCATGTAAACAATGCTAATGACTTTATCACTTACGTGATGTTTCAACTTTCGATTAATCAGTTTTCCCATTCATGAGCACCTGTTTCAATTTTAACGGATAGTTCTAACCTTTGACTACTGAATTAGTACGTTTCGTTATATACCATCCATACGAAATATAGGTACTGATAATAATTAGTGCTAACAGATTTATCCCGAGAATGTACTCCATATTGACGACAATATTCCTCAGGGGCGGACGTATCTTCTAAACGCGCTACTCAATACAACACATGACCCTAACTCTGTAGCTCACAACATTCTATAAAGTTAGTGGTGACTATTAACAAGTAGAATGTCTATTTGAGGTATAGGGAATATATTTATTAGTGATTAGACACAAAATACAGAATCAACGGTACTGGAAACCACTTTCTTCAGCAACGAATCCAACGAGGTCACTGGAACTACAGATTACCTAAAAAAGAAAACAAGGGTGCACAGCATGTATACATGAATATAACTGCCAATATAATATTAACGAGATACCAAAGTAAGAATTAATGAAAGTTTATATCAATATGCGATTACATCAATCACTATTTTTGACACAAGTGGATATTTAGGCGAAGTAATAAGACGTAATTTGTCTGAGTCGTGCATTGTTGTATTTGTGCAACACATTTTGGACAATCTGGTCACGCATGGACTTGTCATAGGAATACATATGAAATTAATACAGTTAAGAGGTCAGAAAATAAATTCACGTCGAATTAAGATCACATATCGAAGGTCAAAATAACAATGAAGATCACTAAACCAAATAACAGGTATTAGTACATCTACCCTGACTGGTATGAAGACGAAGTTTAACAAAGAAGGTTTCGTGTGATGACGAATATTCTTGGAACTCACAAAAGTGGTTTAAACTTCCGAATCACACTTCGGATTCCACAAACTTTAGGACCCAATCCAAACACGTTTTACAGATAAGTTTAAAAAAATGTGCAAACGTCAATTTTATGTTCTGTCCATATAATATGTTTCAAATAGAGGAGCTGGGACCCCATTAATAACTTCTGAAGATTCTGTTGCTTCTGGAGGCATTTAGGAATATGATGCGTAGCCCTTACTTGCAGAAATCGATGAGTCCCCCCTAAATGGATACAGCAACCGCTTCTAAACCTTACGTCCATAACTAACAGATGTCGGACACTAATTCTACGTGGTTTCAAAATAATTTTGTGAATTAACTTTGAACAAACGCATATAATTTGGCGTCAGGGCAATAACAAAAATCGGAAGTTTACGAAACCAAACTCAATAATAGAACAAAATGACGCACACCACAGATGTCTTTACGTACCTGATCACGAGGATGGTATTGAAATCCACCAAATTACTAAAATGTTGCAGTGTGCATTTAACTCATTTAAAAATTTTGGCAGAAAACAGTGAATGCTGTAGGTTATCGCAAAACATATTGCAGTTTCTGCCCATTTATGAACACTAATTTTCCCTTGTATCTATGCATTACATTGACTTTCAGCCATCAAAACACCACACGAGAGTGTGGAAGGATGCATGAATTCGATATCAATCGTATTTCGGTTCCTGCAACAGTAATAGGTACTGCACAACAGCTGATAGGGAAATGCGAGATCGAGTACGGGTTTCCGCCAAGCTGCAAGGAAATCTATCGAATGACAGTCGTCGAAATGCACACGAAGCTTACCCGGTATGCCAAATAATCATTGCATGAACCATGTATTTAAGCGTCCTGTCACACAAGCAATCAGTAAATGCTCAAGAACGATATCGAACAACAATTTTCATATAAATTCATCCAACAAGAGCAAAATAAGCACCGACATCGCGTCTACTGCGTTTGCTGGACGGCTAGCTACAACTCGAATCAACGAAACCGCGCAAATGCCGTCAAGGTTAAGCCAGAGGCGCCACTTCAAATAGGGGATATGCCTTATCAAGGCAGCCTGTAGACGGCCGTAGGTCATTTGATCAGCTGATGGATATTGGCGTTACTTTTGAAAATGACGTCAAAAATAAGTCATTTTTCGTTGTTTTACACACTTTTTTACATATATTCCAGCTAAAAGTTGATGAAATACGGCGTATTTAGCAGAAATAGGCAATGGTGGTGTCCTTATCCGGCCGTAGCTTACAGGCAGTCTGCAGTTTGTTGGAAAAACGTACTTTTCCGTTCAGAATACGTCGAATTACTTGAAGAAACATGTTATAATGATCTTTTCGTGAATATTTTTTGCATTTTAATGGATTCCACATGGACATGATGAGGTGGGATAGCTCGTTTCGGTAATTACATCATTTACTTCCTTGTTTAATTTTCGTAATGCTTACAAGGCTGCTCCATATGTATTTCTTTAAGAAAAATCTACAGAAATACTTAGAAATTATATACGCAAAGTAATTCTTTTTTTATGGCATAAACTTGATGTTTGCAGGCAGATGCAATATGGATTTTAGATTATGAAGAGTGTTGACTTACATAATTATATACAATTCAAGTAATTATTTCGTCATATTAAACATATTCAATGGTTAGTTATTGTGTTAACACTGATAACAATGTCTATATCTGTATATATCTTATGTCCTTTTTCAGATAATATGTACTTTCGGGAATTTCATGGATTTCGTTGATAAAGAAAAAGATACCCGCATTGTTGTCGATTTCGTCTTACATTTTAATTCATTAATAAATGTATTCCTCGTTGTTCGTTTACTTATTCTGCTTAATAATACTAATTTCTAGCTTTTGCGTAAGTTGTAAGGTACGGAGTTTATGACGGTAACTTAGAAATGCCAAGTAAAATAAGATATTCGGAGATGCTTATTGATAAAACGATAATGTGGCAACGTAATGAATTTACTTCGTCCACAGTTAAAAGAAAACATTGAGATTATAAGCGCTTAGAGTTATATATCGTCTTAGTAGGGACCTACTAACGGACTTTGGATTCATAGTCACTCAAGGTGAAAAGTAAATTTAGCTAATATAGTATGCTTGCGAAAACTTGCGAAAACGAAGACGGTAGTAATTGTAACTATATTAATCGACATGTGTAACTGAGTGCATCTACGGTTACTGTAATAATACTAAAAGAATGCCAAGGTTTCACGGAGACAGGCTAGTACACTGACATCTATTCGTTGAACCGTTTCAACAACAATTTCCGCAAGTCAGAATAAAGAAGATTTTTTATGGGAAAATTTATTTACAGTTATCTTTAAAAATATGTACGTATATCAGTCCGAGGCTGACGATGTAGATGCCTGATCATCCAACTGTCCACCAGCTTCAAGCAGATAATTGTATACGTAAAGAAACGCACTTCTACATATCCGAGGATGCGTCTGTTTAAGGTTTCTCATTTGATATATGATTCCTTGTATGAGCATCTCCACGTCCAATTCCACCGCTGTTGTCGACTGAGATTGGATGAGAGTGTGGTTGTAATATCGTAACCACCTAGTACTATGTCTAAATACATCTTTTACAAAATAATTGCTGGCTTATACGAACTTACCCAGACGTGAATATAGATAACATTTGGTATGAACAAGATGACGGCATGGCAAAAGCATGTTTTTGTTTTGGAAACATGTGCAGCTGCAGTCATGTTTGTCCACAACGAAGTACCTTTCACCTTCTTCGAATATCACGTATGCTTCTGTGCTATCATTTACTTTCATTTCCGGATGCCTCCTGATGCTTTTGTAAAGTGAGTATGCCGCATAGCTTGTAAGCTGCCACAAAATGCTGGAAAGGCCTTCGTCCACCTGAAAAAATTTCAAGTTGCAACTATTGGACTTACGTTAAAATTAATGTAGTAATGCAGGTTTCGATTTCCTTCAATAGCCTATCTTCTCCATGACTCTATGGAACACTTCCATATCTCACGAATGCTCAATTCTATCGGAAAGCACTTGCTTAGGTGTGTCTTCAGGTGTTTATGGCAGCATTCAACTCTGTTATTCGTTTTGTTGCCAAGACTGACAACATCTTTCATATAACAGCCTGCCCACATATCACGACAACTCCATAAGTTGTTATTTATTTAAGATACGGCTGCAGGAAACTCCAACCCCATTAAATTCATTAACTCACTAAACCTAGAGAAGTGTTAACACAATCACTTAGTTACCTGCCGTTACTCGTTGTGTACACCATCTCTTTAAACATCTTTTTACAATTAGGATCACGGAACTTAAGGACGTTAGGTAAGTAGTAATGTCGCTTTCTTTGTTATTGAAGGCCCGGATGACATGAAATGCACATAATATGATGGAGCAGGCAGGAAACTCATCACGAATTGCACGTTGCTCTGCAGCACTGTTGTCAATTACAAACGTGACAGTCTGCGATGTATCGCCCATAATATTTTTAAAGGACTGTAATACTGCTTCAACGTCAACAAGTCTTTCACGATGAGTTGTACTGTACATGAGTGGACAACTTCTATTCATACCATCTGTAACAACCAGTTGATATAGAGGATGACTACAAGAGATTCGTTTAACATTAAAATATTACCCCTCCCTATTCGTTTTGTAGGTTGAATCCATGCCCACAACCTCTGGAAATTTTTTATATAAACTTATCATTTCCCTGGTTGCGAAACTAAACTTTTCCACACGTCGTCGACTGTCCAGCACGCACCATACGGAACCTGTGTCACGAATTTCACCGATCAGTGTGTCAATGTCTCGCATTCCTGTAGAGACTGTTAACGCAAGATGATAACTTACTAGGGTAGACTTGTTCCCGGAAATTCCGATAATCATCGTAGGTCATCAGCTTTCCAAACTCAACATCAATCATATTTATAACTTGAGCAGGGGGGGCGTTTCTCTCTACAAGAGGTAATATTTTAGATTTTTCTTCTAAACTTAGTCTCCGAACTGTCGGCTCAACAGACAATAGCAGTTCTCTTGACAACGCATGGTTGTGTCGAGTATTGACAGGTTCGACCACTTTATATAGTCCGAATTCCAGCTTAAATCTGAAACTTGATGGACACCCTATGTACTTAGATCTTAAATATAAAGCTGAGGTACTTTACAGCACTCACTGTGATGTTCTCAGGTGCCTGCTTTCTGATCGTCGACGTCGACCAACATGACATGAAAATGAAACGTACAAGTACTTGTAATCTGGATCAACCTCGTCATTTTCATCACGACGAACCCGGCAGTCACGTATTTTATACAAGCTGCCGGTTCGCTACAATTAATAATGACAAGCAGTTATTACAACTTGCATAAACCAATTACCTCTTGAAAACGACGTATACATTCTTCACACTCCTTCCAAGTCCTTAGAATTTGGTAGCGAACTAATTCATTAAATTCAGTGGTTAAATCAACTGATATTTCATTAGTTCCCTCTACCATGACTATATTCATTACCAATAATTACAAAGAACAATTAAGATCACCTTAAAAAGTAGAAACAAAACAAAACAGCCAACAATGTTTGCAAATACCGCCACTCAGTCTTGTTAGGTGATATCAAACAGACCAATCGCAAGCTAAAAAATCAATTGTTTATCTCACTCGCGGGCACTCAAAATTACGGCCGTCTACAGGCTGCCCCTTATCAACGCCCCTTTGGTTCAAGCGTCACCGACTTAACCTCATTCTCCTATTTAAAATTCTCAAAGGAATAGTATACTTCCCCAATAATAACCTTAACTTTACTTCTTCGACGTATGATCTACGCAGCAACGGGTCTTCTCTAAGTCATATTCTTTGTCGAACGAATTCTCGTCCCAACTTCTTTACAGTCAAATATAGGCAAATATGGAACTTCTTACCAAATGAAATCAAAAACAGCACCACAGTACAACGATTCACCCATCTACTACATAAATATTTCTCCGAAAATAGTCTTGACACGGTTTGCCACATGCTGAAAATTCGTGATATTGTTTCTTCCCACTCTGACTTATGTACCTAAACAGCTTTGTTCACTCAAAGCATTAACAGACACGGTCAGTATTATCAGACATATTTAAAATATTTTACGTTGAGCTAATTCTGTTCTCAGTTCCTTTTTTTAGTTGATCCAATTATTTTTTAAGCAGACATCACGAAATATCCGCAATCCTTTCAAGCAAACCTGGAGTGGAATACACAGCCTGTCATACTCGCCACGAAAGTTGCACTGAACCTAAATGAACTACCCTCAAAACTCTTCAGTCATTCAAATGCATTTAATCCCAGCGGCTGACTTCCAAATTAACCAAATATTATATTATATACAATTACATTACCATATACGCTTACAGAAATCCAAGCTCTACAGAGGATCGTCTAAAAATTCAGCTTAACTACACTGTGAATCCTAAGTATCAACGGATTTTATTTTACTGTTATGCTATCATAACACTCTGTAGTCGTATTCCTCTGAACTATCTATTATAACTAACTACTGTCTATTAACTACACTGTGAATCCTAAGTATCAACGGATTTTATTTTACTGTTATGCTATCATAACACTCTGTAGTCGTATTCTTCCGAAATATCTTTTATGACTGACTACTCTCTTTTTATATAGATATATACATAACTATGCAGCTCTATGTATTTTACTCTTTCGTAACATTTCGTATTACCTCTTCGTTGCTATGCTTATAACTAAAATCTTGAAAGTTGCCTGCAAATCTCTGATTCCCTTACATTTTTTATTTTACGTAAACATTTTTACAATGCTGTTAGTGACGATGCATACAAAATGGCTGACTGAAAGTAGTTGTTCATACCATGAGTATCGTTGAGTTAGCTTGTGAATGCAAAAACTGTCCATATGACACGTAGCAATAATAAAAGATTTTTTTCTAAAAACAATAAAGGAGTATTTCGCCAGGGCCTAGCAGATTCAAAGGTGGGAGGGTGGTGACTGCTATTCAGGGTATATGATGGTGGGGACTTAAGGAAAACCACCCTTATCTGTGGGAATGCACTCTACTGCTAAGGCTCCTGAGGATGAATTACTTCAAAAAAAGAATAATAATAAATAAAATAAAAAATAAATGCTACGTGCATGTCACAGCTTGCGTACAAACTCTTTGAAAAAATGGTACGATCTCTCTACTTCAGGAGGACATCCAACTGTATAAATCAGAACAACAGCATAAATCAGTATTAATATACTTCCTCTTTTCTTTTAAATAACTTATGTACTTTGGCATTTGGATTTCACTTCTTCAGTTACTATTCCCAACATTACCCTATATAAGAGTGAAAACCATAATTCGTTTCGCCCTAATTTTTACTTTTTTTATCGTTATTCTATATTTCAGTTGTTGCTTACTACTATTAACTTAAACTAACCGTTAGTATGTAACACTATAAAACTCAATGACTAGAAACTCCTAGTAATAAAAAAGGAGAATAAACCCTGCGGTTATCGCGTATTGTTTACTTAAATTATTATCATTTGCTGGCTGCTTCTGTTTTCTTCACTTCTCGAAGGTATTGCACTGAAGCACTGCTAATGGACAGTAATCCTGCTTCCTAAATTTGTATTACTTGAGCGGTAACCAGAATATTGTTAGCACTTACGATGAACAGCGGAACAAATTCCATTCTGAATTCTGTTCAACATCGCAAAGTTGACTTTGCTACCAATCGGTCCCTTCTATCTGCTAATACCAATATAATGCTGTACTTACCGTCTAATGTGGATTTTTATAAACTTTCGAACCCTTACTGGTTGATAAAATGATAATAATAACGGTCTGGATCCAGTGTGACTTACTCTAGCACCTGTATATCACCTCTCTTCTTACTATAGCGCACACAGACCACAAGCACGACGGGTGAAGAAAGAAGGCAAAGACGGCGAGGAGGAAGCGTTTATTTCAAGCAAGCCAGACTCGAATTACCCGGGTACAAACTAGTTCTCATCATTTATAACAAGTTTGGATAACCGGTCTTCCTCTTGCTCCAGTGATGCCACATCAACGTTTCTTTCTGAAAAAGAAGAAAAAGAAACTTGCTTAGTGGCATTGTATTGGTTTCCATTGCATTACATTACATTCCATTAACGCAAAATTTCATAATTCCCGCATGAATCTGACTCACTATGAGTATATTAAATATTACAATTTAGACTTAAACCAAAATCTTATATTCTATTCTTATAAAGTTTCTAGAGGTCATTTTACAATTTTTAATTTCATAAAACAGTGTTCAATTACAGACTGCACTTGTCTAATATGATCATGCGTGTACAAACGGTATGTGAATCATGTAAATGCTTAATTTATGTAAAATAAATATTATTATTATTATTAAATTCGTAAAATCTAAGCGAAATTGGAATGATAAATTCCACCGTTTCGTTTGGCAATCCGATCCGAAATTAGTCTAGTTTTGTTGAGTAAATTAAACGGAGTGTACTCTCCATCCGAGCGGTACGTTCGAAATTGGTGACATTTTTGCACGTGTTTGCTCTGAAATTTATTTACTGCTTATTGTCATATAATTCTTGAAATTATGGTCCAAATCTCTAAAAAACGTGTTATGACGCAGCGTATCTTGGCTATGGATATAACTATTTCAAATCACAAACAAATGGATTTGTCAAACAACAAAAAGCATTTGACCTCACATTCTCTAATCATCCTTGCATGATTACCTTCTAACCATGAACCTTGATTTTTATAAAAGCCATGCAAATTTTAAATGGTCCCAGTGAGGGAAAGATTCACATGGTTGAAACACATCTCGCTCTTTTGAATAAAAAAGTACTGTTGGTTAGGTAATGTCAACTAGTCCTTGTAATATGATTGGTGGAGTTGTATGAAAAATCTGGGTGGGGTGGTTGCAGCGTTCAACCACGGAACGTTAATGTCGCATATTACGCAAAAGTAAGAGAACTGTGTAAATATTCGGTCGACACTGAACAACACTGACAAAGGAGGCAGTTCCATACAGTTTTACGGTGAATACAACTTTGTACGATTGAAAATAAATATCTTCAGTCGCAACAGCATCACAACCCATTGGATGTTGATTACCTCCCCATCATCCTCATGAACATCAGGAATTTAGGTGTTGCCATAATGATTTTATCCAGCTTATGCTATTCCCAAATACTTGTATCTAGTAGAAAGGGCACTTAGCGTTGTGAATCTAGGTCGATATGTTAAGAGAAACAGTAACTAGGCACCAAAGGTAAAATACTTACGTCAAAACAAGCTTATAATTTTATATCTGTTTTCAACATCAGAGATCCATTCTTTTTTGTAATTTAGTGAATATACTTTCAGATGAGTGGTTTTGGAACTATTTAACTATTGAGTAGGAGTTATTGCACCAGTTGTCGCGCGTTTTTTAATATTAGTGTTACTGCTGGTATTTCGGTTGTCCTCTGTTTGTATCTTGGGATGCCTATCCACAGACACATTAAAAACGTAGTACATAACTACACAGATGCTGAAAGAAAAGTCCGTGAAGCCACTTCGAATGATCCATGGGGTCCTAGTAGCACTTTAATGGCTGAAATAGCAGACAAAACTCACAACGTAATGGCATTCACGGAAATAATGCAAATGATATGGCGAAGATTGAATGATAAAAGTAAAAATTGGCGTCATGTGTACAAGTCACTTGTTCTGCTGGATTATTTAACGAAAACAGGCAGCGACAAGGTGGCTACACAATGTCGGGAAAATATTCATTCGATTGAAACACTCAAAGTGAGTTTCTTATTGCAAGTGATGATTATCAGTAGTATCTGTGGTATCATTGCTTACAGTCATTGTAGGGGTTTTTCTTATGCATTAACAGTTCAGTAACAGCAATATTATCTCACTTCTGTAGGATGTTTGAAGTCTCCATTTATGAAGCTTCTTATAAATCTGACCTTTTACATCATTTTCTTCCAAGTGATGCTTTTGGTGCTTGCTTGACTTTATCAGTCATTGGAAAAGTGGTTGTTAGAGTTTGATTAGATATTGGAGATTGTGTTCTATGTTTTAAAACTTTGGTTTTTGTAGTTTCAGATACAGATAATAAGGATTGAAGGCTATCGTTGCCTATGTTAATCCTTGCGGTATTCATTCCTGCACAGATCTACTTTCTCTTTGAAAGCGTGCATCGATGGAGCTTGTACTACTTAGTCAGGTAAGGAGTTCCAATCGGTGACCAGTCAGTGAGATAGTCTAAATTCCATACGTATTTTATTCGACCTCAGTTTTAGCACCTCATTGCGACCTCGTATCCCAGATGGGAAGATAAAACTAGGGAGGTCAATCCTGTAAGTCATCTTTTAATATACGGTGTGACAAAATTAAGTTACCTCTCCGCCTTCGGTATGATAATGGGAAGTGATTTAAATGTTCCATCCTCTTATCATAAGGAAGGTGTGTGAGATACCACAAACTAATTTGGTTCCTACCCTCTTTATTCTTTCCAGGATATGTGCTTCCTTTCTGAAGCCTGGATTCACCTTTTGTATTCAGTATTCTAGTTTTGGCTTGACATATATTGCACAAAGTACTTGGAACATACACTCGTCTAATCGTTTGATAGCCCTTCAAAGTGCCCATAGCATTCGAAAAGCCTTAGTTGAGGCTACATTACAATTTGACGTTTTCAAGTCATGGCTGACAATAATTCCGACGTCCTTCTGTCCTTTAACATCAGGCTGTTCTGAGTCCCCCAGGGAGTACGACATGTGCATTGCCACTCCTTTCTTGGAATTAATTTCCAGATTCCAGGGGTTAGCCCATTCAGCTAATTCATCTAGGTCGTTTTATAGTAACAACTTATCATTGCTAATGTTTACAGTTTTCCATATCTTAATATCGTCTGCAAATAATAAATAAGATGAAGTAAGAGTTTTCGCTAGTTGAATTGGGTATAATAGTAATAGCAGGGGGCCAAGGAGTTTCCTGAGGTATTTAACTCACTACTACTTCCCACGCTGACAGTACACTATTAAACCTTGCTTTTTACCTTCTATACGAATATGTGGTGTACTTAAGCTACCTGTGGCAAATTATAAAGCGTTAACAATCGAAATCAACTTAAACTTGACAGATTTCTTAGCACTTTTCTGTTCATGTTAAGTGCATTGTTCGTAGTTTGACGAATTCAACCTTTGTAGACACTTTTAAGAATTATTATTTTAATCAGGAATAACAAAATCTATGAAATCCTTTAACGTTATGTACACTGGATGGTAAAGTATTAACATTATTGCATTTTTAGGCAATTACGATACCTGTTTATAGGCTCATTTTCCACTTAACGTGTGTTAGAGTATGTGATAATTAATTCAGCTAACTTTAGTAAGCATTAATTCTGCAGTGTCTCTGCAGTACCAGAGAAACAAATTTCCCCTCGTGATTGTTCTTTATAGTGATACCTCTAAAAGGAATCTCTTATTAATTTTTAAGAAGTTAGCTCTTCTTCATCTGAAGACGGTGGCTGTATGTTTTTATCGTAGCTAATGTCTGTCTGGATTCGACATAGAACTTGGCACCGAAGTGCAGCAGTTCGAGTTGCCACCTTCCAAATAGCACACAGAGGTAGACAAGAAGATGAGTGAAGAGAATCAATAGAGTTTGACAAGTATAAGAGTGAAACAGAATGGGTAATGGTAGAAAGGAATATGAAAGATTACATCTGCGCCATTGACAACGATTTTGAGCCATGTCACCTATTGTCTCCAGCCATTGATTCCTAGAGTCCCGAGGGCCCCAACCCGGGAGTCTGCATCTCCCTACCTGACTCAGTTTAACTGTCAAGGATTTCATGGATTGATGCCATGTTTTTGTTTGGCCACCACTGGCTCTTTTCCAACCTGCACCTATATCAGCTAGCAATGCCCGTCGGGGGAGGCGGTGGTTAGGCATGCGCAGCACGTGACCTAGCCATCTTAGTCTATGTAACTTTATAGCCTCGTCGATTGATTTTCCCTCTTTGCCCAACACTCTACGCCTAACGTCAACATTACTTACCTTATTAAACCACCTAACGTGAGACAGAGATCGCAGACATCTATGATCGAAAGCAGTCAACCTTTTCATGTCTTCAACGCGTATTGGCCATGTTTCAGAGCCATAGAGAAGGACGGAGCGAACTGATGAGCAGTACACACGTCCCTTGGTTGATAACCGGATGTCACGCCTACGCCAGAGATGGTGTAAGTCAGCGAAAGCAGCTCGAGCTTTTCGGATCCGTGCTGAGATTTCATCGCCAATCAGTCCGTTGGTGCTAATACAACTTCCCAAATAGGTGAAGTGGTCAACATGTTCTATCACTTCACTCCCTATCACTAAGTTAGGAGTTGACGTGGTCCAGTCCTGTAGCAGCATCTTACATTTTGTAGGGGCGAATCGCATGCCAAACATACGAAGATTGCTGCTCAAGGTGTTCAGAAGACTCTGCATTTTGTCAGCATCCTCCCCTAACAGGACTATGTCATCTGCATATTCTAAGTCCATAAGACTATTCCCTGGTAACAAGTCGATTCCTAAGTCATTACGTTCAGTTAAGGATACTTCCATCAGCATATCTATGATGAAGTTAAACAGAAATGGGGAAAGTGGACATCCCTGTCGGACACCACTGGTTGTTACCAATTCAGATGACAATTCCCCATAAGCCCTTACACGACTACGTGAGTTTGAATAGAGTGCCTTGATTAGTGCAATGTACTTTCTTGGCACTCCCTTCACAGTCAGACATTGCCATAGTACCTTTCGATCCACGGAGTCGAAGGCCGCCTTCAAGTCAAGAAATATGACAATTGTTGGACGCCGAAAAGTGTGTCTATGTTCTAGAATCTGTCGAAGAGTGAAGATATGATCTATGCACCCTCTACCTGGTCTAAAGCCTGCTTGATTTTCCCTTGTCTGTTCCTCCCGAGTTCTGCTTAGTCTATGCATGATTACTGAGCCTAGGATTTTAGAGACTATGTGGCGACTTGAACTTCCGCACATATGTGCAAAGTTCTATGTCGAAAACAGACAGACAGACAGACTATGTTCGTTAGGTTGATCCCTCTATGATTATCACACGAGGACTTGTTTCCCTTCTTGAATATCGGTATAATAAGTGACTTACCCCAGTCTGATGGAACTTCCTCTGATTCCCAGACTTTGCCTAGTACCTCAGTTAATCTACAAACTAGTATGTCACCCCCATATTTAAACACCTCCGGAATAATTCCGTCGGGTCCTGCCGCTTTGCCTCGTTTCAAATTACTGATAGCTTTTGTGACCTCACCTACAGACGGCGGACCAGTGTCTATATCCCATTCGGGTACGTGGTGGATGGCAGGGAGGTTCAGTGTGGCTGTAGGCAAGTTAAATTGTTCCTCAAAGTGTTCTTTCCAGCGTTCAAGGCGTCTATCCTGAGAGCTGATTAAGGAGCCATTTTTCTCAGAAATAGTCTCACTTATGATTTGCCTTCTCCCACCCGTTTCCCTGATGAGTCTAAAGAGTTGCCTAGTGTTGCCTATCGCCGATGCTTTTTCCATATCTTTTGCCTTTGTCAGCCACCACTGTTCACGGTCCTTGCGGAGACTTTTAGTAAGTTTCCTTTTGTGCAGCTTTCGCTCCTCATTGAATTCGGAGCTCGCCGGAATAAGTGTTCTAGCATCTATCAGTTCGGATGAGGCAGTCGAAATCCAGTGGTTTTTACTCACCTTTGGATTTGCCTTATTCACAGCTTTTACAGCTGTATCTATAGCTGACTGAATATTCTTCCAGGCATCTCCAGGGTGAGCACAGCTGTCGAACTCAGATATGCGTTTAGCTAGTTCTTCCTCAAATAGGGATTTAGTTTCCTGATCCTAGCTAATACGAAGTGTTTTACGAAACTTCGGCGCTGAATTTTTTTATGATGATGTCTGATGGTATTATAACTGAACTGATCTGAATAGACCCCGTCGCTACTTTGTTATCTGTGCCTGTTAATTACTATAACGGTAATGAACTGGACTGGTACGCTAATATGTCAATTTGTCCGTTGTACCTTCCGATTCACTGAACTACACAAGTACTAAAAGTCAAAAGCTGAACTGTAACTGTAAGATATTGTATTATATATCTATTAGGAAACAAATCATATATATATCATAATACAGTTGGCTCACAACCGTGAGAATGGGCTGTTCTTATTGGCTGGATATGTTTCTTCTTAATGTTTGGTGATCCGACAAAGACCAAGGTGAGACAAAAGACGGTGAACTGATCACACACTAAATCACAATATGCGTGAGAAATGATAGATCCACATAGTAACTCTATGACAAGATAAGTCACACGATTCGTGAGAAAGGATGATAAAGTATATTATGCTGGGTCCTATCAGATGGGTTTGACACAACATAGGAGAAATTCTGGGAGAGGAGGGGGTACCAAAGAACTATGTGAAGGGAAGTAAATAAATTTAGTAGATGTAATCTACACATACACCACGCATCGCCAACCCAACAAAGCTGGTGCCACTGAGAATTACTTACACGCTTGTGCCACACAGTTTTCTGGAGACGGTATTGATAGGATATGGTCGCCGCATTTCCTCAACTCAGAGGTCATGATGTTTTTGGATATTAACCAGATTGACACTGGAGTCGATGTTAGGGATGGTAGTCTTGGCTTTTATCTTCCAACTAGAAATCTCATTTATCGGAACGCTTCCAGCACTTACATAACTCTTAAGACAAACGTTTTGACTACCAAAGACTTACACGTCAAGCTGAAGGTTCAGGTTTTTACCAAATTTGTAAAATCATTTTGCAAAATACATACCATGCTTACAGATGCTAATCGCCAACTGACTAAGTGTGACGGGAGGAGGCTGTATGTGATAAGATATCGTCAGCATATCCAAAACCAAAAGGTTTTTCTCTAGACAGTAAATCTGGTACCAATCAGCTGTGCAGCAGTCTCCCATGCTAGGTGGTGTAGGTGGTAGGTGTAACAGGGAGAGTGAGGAATATTGAGGTGAGGCATCGGTCGGTCAAGTGCCAGGTAAGCAAGTGGGAAGAGGAGGGGGAACCAATCAACGAGGTGAAGCAGTTACACTGGTCGGAGTGGATAGTTAGGACATGTGATTCTCGCGCATGCATGCCTGTCTAGCCTCGACAACGGGCAATCTTAGCCACTGACTGACAGGATGGATTGATCAGGTTGGAAAGGAGGTGGCTAGTGGCAGTTGTAGTGGTCAAACAAAAACATGGCTTCATCATCAGTCAATGAAATCCACAACAGTAAGTTTAAGCCAGCCAGTCACGTAGGGAGGTGTAGGTGTAAACTGCTTGGTTGAATGGCTGGCTGTGAGACATAATCACTGAAAGTGGAAGACATGAAAAGCCAGGCTTACTAGCTAGCTATCTTTGATCCTAGGTGTCTGTAATTTATCTCCTGTTATTAGGTGATAGGTGTAAGCAATCAACCCGCTGTTGTTGGCTGGGCTGATGCGACGCCCCAAATAAGTGAAGCGGTGAACACACTCAGCTAGCCAACCAGCCAGCCGCCACTTCATTCGTCCCTGCCTATTTCTTATGGTAGAAGTCAACGTAGTTCAATCCTTTAGCATCATCTTACTTTCGATGGCAGGAGCAAATCGCATGCCAAACATTCGAAGATTGCTTCTGAAGCTTAAGGTGTTCAGAAGACTCGGCTGTTTTGTCAGCGTCTTCACCTAAGGGGGGAAGACTGTATCATCATCAGGATATTCTTAGTCAACGAGATTATTCCCTGGTGGTAACAAGTCAATCCCTGAGTGGCTGAAGTCAGTCAGAGTTAAGTTCAATAGTATGTCAATGCTAAAAATTAAACGGAAATGGGGACGGTGGGCATCTATCGGAAGGACACCACCACTACTGGTTGTCACCGTTTCCGTAGGCTCTCACCCGGCTGACTGCATGAGTTCCAGTAGAATGATTGCCTTGATCAGTGTGATTTATTTTCTTGGCATTCTCGGTATTTCATTCACTTACTGTATATTCTACCCTAACTTGGTTTCATATAATGTTCAGAAATGTAAAGCAAATGAGATTGCTTTTTGTTTTGTTCTCACTATATTACTTAAATTTCATTCATGCGAAATGAAACAGACAATAAAAATCAGTTAGTTTTCCTATCTGTCTTATATTTTGTTGTGAGTGCTCTTTTTTATTTGACTGAGAGAAGCACTTGTTAGGCGATAACCATTGCAATTAACGTTCATAGTTAATCAGTTGGCGATCAGTGTCTGTAGGTATGGTATGTACTTTGCGCCGTCTAAGTGCAAAGTACTGTTACAAGATTGGCAGCAGCCTGTACCTGGACTCACTCTTGTGGGTGAATTGCTTTAAGTTGATGAGTTTGTGTATCTGGGTAGTTGTGTGAGTGCTGGCGGAGGGGTTACGGATGAGATTTCCAACCGTATAATGAAGGCTAGGGTGGTATACATCAACTTGAGCCACCTCTGTTGCCGCCACGACGTTAGCCTGGCTATCATAGTTCAGATATACAATGCTTCAGTGCGGGCTGTCTTGCCCTACGCCTGTGAAACCTGTCCTTTCCGAGCGGAGGATGCGCGGTGACTCTGCGTGTTCGATCATCGCTGTCTCCACAGGATTGCTTGTGTTCGATGGATGGCATAATCGCGTGAGAAATTTCCAGGTTCGGCGGCGTGTTTGAGCACAGTGGAGATCACCATTCATTGAGTGTCATCATCTGGAAACATCGGCCTTGGTAGCTTGGACATGTGCTGCGAATGTCACCTCAGAGGCTTCCGTACAAGCCTCTGTTTGCAAGTCAGCCTTGGGACGGGATGAAAACGGTGGAGAGATGGTCAGTCCATGACGTGGCGTCGTGGGATGAGAGATGTTTGTGCTAGATTGCCGTCGGTTGGTGAGTAACGACTCCCTGGTTGGGGGTCTCGAGATAGTTCGAATCGATGGCTTGAAGGGTTATTGGATATGGCCAAGAATCGTAACCAATGGCGAACGTGTTGTAATTTCCTTCTTTCTTCCCTTCCTGATGATAGTTAACGAATATTGTTTGAACTTGTTAAGCATGACTGTTTTCCTTCCAGATGAAGTTCTTTATCCGTTCTCTACTTATATTTTTACTTTTAATCCATGCTGTTGTATTATCATTGTGTGGCGCATCTTTCTTGGTACCATATTGTACCATTTTTTCCAGCGTTAAATAAAATATAATAACATAGTTAAATCCATTATATATATATATATATATATATAGGCCTGATATATCTGTTACAATCACTTTCAGTCAACATTATACCCTTTTATATGCATTTTATTCCACACATAAACAGGATTTTGAATATGTTGAAGATGGAAAAGATTGTGGTCAAAATGTTCGTGAGAAAGCACGTCTATTAAGTTCACTGCTTAGAGATGAAGAACGTCTGCACGAAGAACGTACAAAAGCTTTACTAGCTCGTGATCGTTTAATGCACGGTGGACTTGGCATAACAGCGTCTGCTTCAGCTGGTGGTGATTCACCAAATAAATATGGATTTTCATCCTCTGGTCGTAGTAGTTATCCAATTGGATATCCTGGTTCAAGTTATTTTGAAAAATCAACCTTACCTTTACCATCAAGTACGTCTATGTTAAAATGGGGGATTATTTTACCTTTAGATGCAGTAATTTTATCCTATTTGTATAGGTTAATTTTTTTGTTGTTTTAAAAAGTGATTTTTGGTGTTCGAAGTTGTAATCACGGATTAATGCTAGTTAAAGAGCGTCATTGGAAGCCAGTAGGGACCGGATTCAATGGCCATTGCGTGAATTTCTAACTTCTACCAATTCGTGATTTAGTGCGACCGCCAGCCAATATCATCAGGGGGGAAGTCCATCTTCACACTTGACTACTAGTTGGACCTCGCCGGTCACGAATTCTCACTAGAACTCCAGGAAACTCCGTCCTGTAGCAAGTCACTAGCAAGCATCAGATTAATTTTCCATAGTTGGTTTGTAAGGATTAGATTTGTTTTTACGAGTTTGACCACGGATTGATATCGGTTAGAGAAGCATTGAAAATTAGGGAGCACTGGACAGAGCTGTTTCGTCCCAGTTTTGGACTCTTCATCAGTACGTATCCATTGATTTTCGAACTTAGAACCTTACGGGTTCAAGGCGAGCTATCTCGTAGACCATTAAGTCACTGAGACCCGACCCAATGGTCCATGAATTCCAACTTCTGCCAATTCACGCACGACATATAGCGTGACTTGGTACTAGCGAATGTCACTGGTGGTGGTGAGTATTTGTCCTCATACCTGACCGACCTGCTGTACTCCCCACTGGAATCCAGGTGACTATCTCTACCTGAATAGGACCATTAGGTTGATATTCAAGTATTAGTTTTCAGGAATTTGATTGATTTCAGGGCTTCATCATGAACTGAGATCGGTTAGAGAGGACCATCGGAAAACCAGCTGGGAATACTGCCAGACAGCTGCTTCGTTCCAGTTTGGAACTCTTCGGCAGTATACACCTCCACAACAGTTGGAACCTGGAAATTCCGGTTACAAGGCAAGCTCGTAGACGACTATTCAGCCACTGGGACCTGAATCGCTAACTTTAGACAAATTAATTCTTGAAAATTGATCTGATGGTTGTTAGTAGTGAGAAGTCGTGACCAGTATATGCGGGTGGGGGGTCCACCAAGTTAGGCCGTCAGGAGGAATATTCACCGGTGATGAAATCATTGGCTGGTGTCAGTTGTCCTAAAAGTTCACGGGATTGTCTTTGAAAATTGGATCCCAGTGACGGAATGGTCTACGAGCTTTCCTTATAACCGAAAAATCCTTGGTTTATTCAAATTCTTGTTGCGCACATAATGCTTAAGAGTCCTAAACTAGTTGGGACGAAACCAATAGTTAGTCCTCTCTAACTGTGATGTCGGATATCTCTGATCACACCTGAAATAAAATCAAATCCCCACAGACTAACACTAGACTTTAGTGTTTCCACTTCATATAGTAGATAGGTTTTTAGAGCAGTACATAAAGGTAATATGTACTGTTATAATTTCAAATTATACTGCTCTGTTTGCTGTTTTAATTGTGTGTTATTGTCGGATAGTATATGCAGTAACACACAGTGAATATTGGCGGTGTCAATAATAATCATGTGTTGGCAATTATTTTTCTTTTTTTAGGATTTCTCATTTTTATTTACGACAAAATAAACAACAAATATTTCCTGTTAATTGTTGTCGCTGTTGTTGTTGTTGTTTCATTACAGCGAAAATTATTCATTCAGACATTTAGAAAAGCAAAAAGAAAAATAAAGTTGGGCGAAGAATATCCTTCTCGACTATTTCCTTTTCTGGCCCTATAATTATATATCCATACGTATATTTATGTGCACAGAATATTCTAGAATAATCGCCATTAACAAAATTGGTGTTTTTAAAATTACATTTTGAAGAAAGATGCGTGATTAAGTTATAAATAAAAAGCATAAAAATGTAATAGTAAATAGAATAGCAAATAAAATTAAGGAAATCTCTACAACAGTAAATTTAAGGATCATTAAAACGTTGATTGACGGCTAAAGTAAGGAAAATGTCTGAACCAACTTCTTTTTTTTGGATAAATAGATTAGGCTTCTTGATGCAGATTCGAACTTGAGGTAAAGTTAAAATTGGTTGGTCGGCATACGGTAGATGATATTAAAAGCCGCCTTTTTAACATCAATCTCGTCTTCTGTATCCACGAGATGAGAAAGAATAGAACCTTAAATCGACTTTGTTTATCCTTTACTTAACCAACGTTCAGGATGGTGTTCGGAAATCCAACGATAAATACGCCTAATTGTACGGCCAATAATAGCTAACTGGCTGACACCACAGGAGCAGTTGAATTGATAGATACACATAGGCGAAGTGAGGTAGTTTATCTTTTGAGGACACAGATTACTTCAGCAACACTGAATGAATTTTTTCTACCGTATTGCTTAGGCGTTGTGTTAATATCTCACTGATTTTACCATCGCCGAGGAACTGAAGTTTCGCTAACAAGGCCTTCCTCTTTTCGGAACTGCTGGTTGGTACTTTGACCTGTCTGCCTCGACTTTTGAATCATATTCTTATCGATGAATTTTTCTAGGTAAACGTTTTCAAGCATTGGTTTGTAGGGATTTGGTTGACTGGTTCCAGGATTTCATCACGAGCTGACATTGGTTAGAGAACCATTGAAAACCAGGGAGTACTGGACAGCTGCTGTTTCATCCTAGTTTGGGAATCATCGGCAGTACGCACCCACTGGGATTCGAACCCGGGACCTTCCGGTTACAAGGCAAGCTCGTATACCATTCAGCCACTGGGACCCGATCCAATAGCCCATGAATTCTAACTTCTGCTAATTAACGATATAGCGCAACCGCTAGCCAATGTCTTCGGCGAGTATTTGTCCTCACACCCGACCAGCTGCACCTTACTGGTCACGACTACCCACTGGAACCCCAGGTAACTACCTACCTGAATAGGGCCAGTCGCCCTATTTCATACAGCAACTGTTTAATAATATTAAGCTCTTCATTAAGACTCTGTGTAAAATATACTAGGTGTTATTTCTAAACAACCAGTTGTAACTAGTTTTCGACCTTTTTCTTCCTTTTCATATACATTCTTCTGAACATCTATAGGGAGAACAACACTTGTTCAGCCTGTTTGAACTTACGTAGTAATAATTTCGCCATCATTCAAGTTAACCCAAAATGTTGCGTATGTCACTTTGTTTTGTGAGCGTGTATTGCGCTGTGGATCGGTTATTTTGTATTTTGATTATAGGCGTCTGTGATGTATCTCCCGTGTTAGTTCGTGTGGGTGTAGCAGACAGGGTGGTGAGCAATATTGATATGAGGCATCAGTCGGTCGAGTGCTAGCTGAGGGAGGAAGAGGGGAAATCAATCGATGAGGCTGTGAAATTACATCGATTGAGATGGTTAGGAGATGTGTTGCGTTTGCCTAGTCATCACCTTCTTCGACAACTGGCAATGTTAGCTGACATAGGGTCATACTGAAAAAGAGTTCAGCGAAGAGTCTCTTTTCGGCGAATTCATTTTCATAGCTATACAATCGCAAATATATATGGTTATTTTGTGTGTGTGTGTGTATATACATTAAATTTGTCAAACGAAAATACAACTAGTAAGCTCAGATGAATTGGATGTTCATATAAGAGGATAGTAACAAAAGTGATGAGTTGTCATAAATGATTGTTAAATAAGAGTTGCATAATGGCATTAAGAATACATATAACATTAAGAATAGTGTTTTCCACTCGCCCGCTGATCTGCAGAAACCCAAAGGATAAGATTCTGCACATGACCACTTCTATGTGTATATATCAGTTCACCTGTTGCTGTGGAGCCAGCTACATCAGTCGTTCAACGCGCATCCTGTCAAAAAGGGTCAAAGAATACTATCCAGCGTGGCTACAGAAAGGAAATAATGGCCATATAAGGAGTGCAATAATCGAACATCTCGTCAACACTGGTCATTCCATCTCAACAAACGCCTCCTTCAAAGTAATCTACAAAGTGAAGAATACCCTTCTAAAGACAGTACGATTCTGTCTTCTTTGCGTCGCAGAAGCCCTAGCCATTCAGTTGGTGGAATCAGAACTATGCATACAAAAGAAAATTATCCAACCACTTCTACTAGCATGGTAACAACTCCATTGATTTAACCTAACTTTTGTTTGCTTGTTTGATTTGACCTTACTTCTGTTTGTATGCTTATTTTTCTAACTTAAAACCCTTGTGTAATTCTGTATATTATTTTGTTTCCATATACACCCTTTGAGCACAACTCATTCATCAAACTATTCATGCCATTACGTAACTCTTATTTAACAATCATTTATGACAACTCATCACTTTTGTTACTATCCTCTTATATGAACATCCAATTCATCTGAACTTACGAATTGTATTTTCGTTTGACAAATTTAATGTATATACACACACACACACACAAAATAACCATATATATTTGCGATTGTATAGCTATGAAAATGAATTCGCCGAAAAGAGACTCTTCGCTGAACTACTTGTCTTTTGTTTACTAATGTTCGAATGGGAATTATTCATGAATGAAAAAGAGTTAGCGGTGGTCAAACCGAAACATGGCTCCACCAGTCAATGAAATCCACAACAGTTAGTTTAAGCCACGTATGAAGGTTGAAAACAATTGGTGGTATGGCTCCAAATACTTTTTAATGGCTGGCGCAGATGCATCCACTCACTCCCTGTGACTTATGATTTCCAATGAAACTATATTGTTCTTCGTTATTAGTATTCCTTTGTCTCACACCTGTGTTTACTGTCTCTCTCTCTCTCTCTATGATGCATTTCTTCTACTTCTGCTTTCTTGTCTTGCTTTGTGTGCTACATGGGGGGAATGTGGCGACATGAACTGGTGCACATATCTGCAAAGTTCTATGTCGAAAAGAGACAGACAGACTATTTTGAAACCAGCCGGCCAGCATGATGGTAAATTCCTATCATGTTTATATATATATATATATATATTTTGAGTTATCTCATCTTATTTTTTAGAATCCCCTGTCCCGCATGCTTCAACTGAACTTGAATCGGTTAGGCCACAATCTGCTGGTGAAGAACAACTTCATTTGCAACTCGCTTTAGCTATCAGTAAAGAAGAACATGATAGAGAGGAACGCCGAAGACGAGCTGAAGAGGCAAAAGAAGAAGCCAAAGTACAAATGGTGATAGAACAGAGTCGTCGAGAAGAACAGGTAACGCTGTTTTGTATATACTTATTCTACTGTGCCATCATAAGCATTGTTGTGAATTTAACTTTTGTGTTGACCACTCCTGACAATTGGCAACATTTATTTCCCCAATACGAATTTAAAACAAGCAACACCTTTAGGTGTTGCTTGTTCATAAAGCAGGACTTAATAAATCCACCAGAATTTCGGTAGAACTCTTCCTCAGCTGAATGCTACTCTACATACACGGAGATATATAGACTATCGGAAATACATTTGGAGATATAAGATCTGATAAGCAAATAAATAATAATAATCCAAAAAACAGTACCTATAATACAGAATGGACTTCTCAGCACTTGTCACAATATTGCCTCTGATTTACTTAAAATATAAATAAAATTGTAAATTAAAATAAAAGTAACCAGAGGAATTTGTCCACGTTTACGATATGAAGTCAAAAATATTCAAAGCACGAATTGAGCATATTAAATATAATAGTAATGATAATAATAATAATAATAATAATAGTGAGTTTGTTTCAAACAGTATTGTCGATTCAGTTTGGAAATTTTAGCATGTTATTATAGAGTATTGAATCTAATGTTTCTGTTGATATAGTAGCATGGTGAGGGGAAAGACAAAAAATAACAATTATTACACACACACACATACAACTTAATTGATGTTCCCACTTATAGAAAAAAATTGAGAGGATTATGAATGTAAGAAATACAATAACAATAAAGTTTAATGGTATATGGGTGGAGGAAATGGTTTACTTAGTAGTGCGAAGAAGGTTAGTTAGTCAGTTCATGCCTGACACTATTTTCATCACATAAAGTACGTGCAGCGAAATATGGTATAGCGGAATTTTTAATACTTAGATGTACGTGCGTAAAGTCTTCTGAAAAGACTTCTTGTTTTACCTTAGAAGGAGACACAAGGTTGGAGCTGTGGGTGCTGTCGTAGGTGCTCAGAGTCTGACAATATTCCTTTAGCAAATTTGTTTTATGATATCAGGTGCCAGTCGTCAGTGATAATGTCAACGATATGACCCAATCGGATACCACTCACACTACTGACTGACTGACAGTCTTCAGAGTGCTACGAAGTATGACATAATCTTTGTTGGGCAATCCAGGAGATAATAAGCAGGGGTGAACAGTAAAGAAGAATAGGTAAGATGCACGAGTTGGCAAACTGTAAGAGGGGTGGTCGGGTTATGCTTGAGCGCCTTAACTTCTTAACGTAAAATGTCAGACGAAATATTCTTTTAGAAATTGCTAAGACATGGGAAGACCAGGATAGGTCAGAAGAAAGAATTAATCCAAGATACTTAACTTCAGACTTGGTTTATATATCAATATCATCAATTTTGCAAGGGTCATAGGAACCAACAGCTTCAGTTAACTGTCTTTTACATCGGAAACTGAAATTAACAGTCTGATATTTGAAAGGATTTAGTTTAAGGCCATTAGAAGAAGACCATTTGCTGACTCCTGATAGAAAGCTGTTCATCTTAGTACAGTCTAGCTGAATTAAACGTGCTAAACGACACGTGTGTGACCCTTTTTCAGGTCATGTTGAAATAGATAAGGGGAGGAAGGGAGTGTGAGAGATTAAAATTAAGATAAAATGCATTACTTACTCTTCAATTACACATCAATTAGATAAACAATTAGTCATGAGCGGAAGAACTTAAATATCTCAAGAATTGCGAACTGACTTCTAATAATAGTAATAATGTTGAAACGAGTTGAGATAATGCTACTGATAAAGGATAGTTCAAAATGAATCAGAAATAATAATAACTAGAGGTAGAATAAAGTGCCAATAATAATAATAATAACAGTTAATCTGTAAAACGTATTACCATGGTAGATTCAGAGCGATGGCCATTTCCTTTTGTGCACACAGAAAGACCTGGTTTATAAACTCTAATTGCACAATAGCCTCCTCAGGGATCGCAAGCATCTTTCTGTTTCTTTGTCTACTGACAATAGCAGTGAATGACTAGACAGCGTCGATATTAGGTCCATAGTCCATAAGATGCTGGAAAAGAGCTAGTGGCGGTTAAACCAAAACATGGCCTCACCAGTCAATAAAATCCACAAAAGTTAGCTTAAGCTAGCCACGTAGGAAGGAAGGTATAGACTTCCTGACTGGCTGGTTGGAGTCCTCGGGACGTTAAAAACCAATGAAAGCTGGAAACAATTGGTGATATGGCTGGCTCAGAGTGATCGTTCTCAATGACTGGCTGGCGCAGATGCATCCACTCCTTGTGACTTATGATTTCCAATGAAACTATATTGTTCTTCCTTATTACTATTCCTTGGTCTCATATCTGTGTCTACTGTCTCTAGCATGCATTTTTTCTCTTGCTTTGTGTGCTACATGGAGGGAGTGTGGCGAATTGAACTGGTGCACATATGTGCAAAGTTGTATGTCGAAAGCATACAGACAGGCTGAAGTAGGAGAAACCAGCTTTGTCCAGTACTCCCAGGTGGTTTTCCAATGGTCCCCTAACTAACGTAAGCTCATGATGAAATCCTCCAACCAATCCTCGGATTATCAAAACTGTGAATATGTTCATTCTGCCTTTATTCGGTAGGCTAACTGATTAATCTATATTTTTGACATACTTTTGACGTTCTGTTTATTTATTTATTTATTTATAGAAGGATAAATCAAGTCGACATTCAACATCAAATATTCCTTCAGCATCTAGTGCTTTTGAATCACCATCGTACACGTCTAGTGGTGGATTATTCAGCCTAGTTGATACTTCATTATCGGCTGCACCAGCTCATCTACCAGATCCATGGTCAACACCGTTAGTACCTCCAAACAATCCTCTGAATAATACATCATCGCCTACTCCGTCTACTTCGTTTACTAATACGCCGGGTCCTTCAACGTCGACATTTCCACTTATACCTATTGATGATCCTTGGAGTCCCAAAAGTAAGGTTTTATTAATTCGCTTTATATGTATACATTTTTATGTATTATTATGTAGTAGTTGGCTTCACCTAGCGGTTTTGACTGTTTCTTGTAAAACCTATAAGGAATTTCATCATTTTGTTGTGAAATAAAAGTCTTGTTTATCGTTCTCTGGAGTGCTCTTCAAGTGGCCTCATGATTCTCCATTGGCTCTCATCTTCTCCACGTCACCCTGGGAGATGCACTTAACCCGTTGTTTCCCATTCGAGTTTTGGTTCGTGAGTCTGATGTGGGGTGTTAGCCAACAATCTCTTCATCACACAATGTCCGATCCACCGCCAATTTCTTCTACGTATTTCTTGGGCGATAGCTTCTTGATTGGTTCTTTCCGAGAGTTTCCTTTTGCTAATTGTTGTTTCTGGTCGGCTTGCCATCTGATTTTCAGTATGGAGCCAGCCAGCCAGCGTAGATGGCAGCTGTTGATAAAAGTTTGAAGTGGCCTGTTAGAAATGCTTTTCGTGACGCGTTAATGCCATGCTCCTGACCCATATATAGATGAAGTGACTGACTAACTTACTTCACTGACATTTGTGTTGAAAATGCGAATCTTATTGTTTATGGTGACGCGGATTGGAGAAAATTCCCAAAGTGGTTTCTGGTTAATGAAGGCGTATCTTGCCTTTCCGATTCTGGCTGGCGGGCTGGTTTTGACATGTTCATCCGCCCGACTGACTGCCTGTGGTTGAAACGATGCTGTCAGCCTAGGTTAGATAAGTGAAGACAGGAAGTGATCTATTTCAACTTCTCCCGTCGATGATGATTGGTGCTGTTTGTTACTGTTGTGGTAGTTCCTTTGGTTGGTGCGTCGGTGGCACAGTGGTTAGGACTTTCGCCGACCATGCATATGGTCCGGGGTTCGAACCCACGCCGGCGCACACCTGATATCTATGGTCGGCCTGCAAAATTTGGGCTACCGATATCCATGCTGAAAATTCCATACTTGTACCAAAAATACAGTGTGGAATCAAGCTGTAAATCAAAAAATTATCTTTTTCACCTTTTTCGTCTCCACCTTCTTTATATTCATCACCTGGATGGAAGCAGTCCTGTCTTCGCCGCCAGCCAGCCAGTTTATTGCCAGTTTACGCCTACCTGCCTGCAAGTCTTCGAGTTTGTGTGACATTCAGCGCATAAATCATCCACACGCGAAATCTACGTGTTCTAGAGTCTTGTTACCGGTCAGTGCAGCGTAATACTGTCTTCTCACTCACCCACTCAATCACACCCAACGCACAGTCTTACGCATAATCCAGTCGACCACAATTAAGAATACCATCGTTGGTGATAATAGGCAGACAGGCAAGCGGCCAGCCAGCTTTTCTCACTCCTGTATTCCCTGATTTCAAAGGCAGGCTTCACTGAGTTTTTGGTTGTGGATCACTCGACACGTGGCATCATTATATATAGCTTTTGAATGAGGTTGATATCATTCATTGATGTCATCTCGAAATCAGTTGTGCCTTACGAGTGGGATGAATAGATTTCGACTTCTTATATAAGGTGTTCTTATAAAAATGTCACTAGCAGTCCCTTACTATCATCGTTTAAAAGTTTTATGAATAGTGTACTATTTTCAAAAATGCTTCCAAATTCTACTTTAATTAGACAAGGCGAAGATAAATGCTTTGAATCACTACATCGGTCACCTTGGAATTGACCGATAATATATATATATATATATATATATATATATATATATATATATATATATATATATATATATATATATATATGAACAAAGAATGTTCTTTTCGATAACCAGCACTCCTTCAGTATCCACAGTTATAGGTATCCATAATAATGAAAGAGTAAGTGTTACTCTCACAACATTGATGTTGTCGTTTAAATAACATCGAATCATAAACATAATAATAATATCAGTGGATTACAGTTCAACAGCATCAACATAATAATAAACTGAATGTCAGAAAGACTAGGAAAGATAATATTACAAATTCATGAATTTATAGTTTACTGAAGGCTGGCCAGGGCAGTAGTAGTGGCTGGTTGGACCTATTTCTTCTGCACACAGAGCATCGGTTGTTTCAGGCGAATTGCAATAGCTTCTGTTGTTTGAAGTACTCGGTACCTGGATGGTTTTGGCAATTTGTTTGTTATCCGATAGCTGATGATGGAGAAGGACTCTCTCCAATGCTGGCTCTGTGGCCGGTTTGGACCAGGTGGTCTAATATCGAACTGTTGCTACCCTGACCTAAGTTGAAACATTTTAGTCAATTATATTACGTCGTCTAACTTACTAACTCAGTCTTACCTTAGTTAATGTCTAATTAACCTTGTTTGTGCAGTCGGTAGCACAGCGGTTAGGGGACGTTCGCCAGCCATGCACATGGTCCGGGGTTTGATACCCGGTCACCGACGCACTCCTTTACCTCGTTAAGTGAGTAACAGAACTGGAAAAGAGGGAAGGTTGTGCATAAGGCTAGCAACCCCATCCTGTAAAGACAAACACTGCTACAGAAACTTCAAACGTCTAGCTTGGAGCCCTATGTTGCACTGGGAACGTGAAGGAATAAAAAGAAAACCTTGTTTGTATATTAGATCATTCTTGTATTACCTGATTAATAATCTAAACCTAACAAACCTCATGTACACACACACAGATAAGTGATTAAAATAAATGCGATTGTACAGCTATGTGAATGAATTCACCGAAAAGAGTCTCCTCGCTGAACGTCTTCTCTTTTTTAATCTCGAACTGTTGATAGTTTTTACTACACCTTTATTTAGCCACACTGGTACAGCCCGAAAAATTAAGTTCCTAGAGCAACAACAGCCGATATAACTCACTCCACTACAAGTTTAGTTGAATTGGTAGATACAATTAGAGAAGTGGACTAGTCTAGTCTATGTGCCTTTATCTTTCAATTGAGTAATCACTATAACTATTATGTATATATTTATTACTGAAGAGCAGGTTCTCGTAAAGAATATTCAGTGGTCATTCTTTTAAACAAAAAAATATTTATGTACAACTTAGTTTACAATATTGTGATTGTCTGTCTGTCCGTTTTCGACATACAACTTTGCACATATGTGCACCAGTTCAATTCGCCACACTCCCTCCTTCTAGCACACAGAGCAAGAGAAAAAAGTACAAGAAATGCATAATAGAGACAGTAAACAGAGGTGTGAGACAAAGAAATAGTAATAAGGAAGAACAATATAGTTTCATTGGAAATCATAAGTCACAAGGAGTGGATGCATCTACGCCATCCAGTCAGTGAAAACGATCACTTTGAGCCAGCCATATCACCAATTGTTTCCAGCCACCATTGGTTTATACCGTCCCATAGACCCCAACCAGTCAGGAAGTCTGCACCTTCCTGCGTGGTTTAAACTAACTGGATTTCGTTAACTGATGAGGCCATGTTTTAGTTTGACCGCCACTAGCTCTCTCTTTTCCAACCTGACCAGTCTTATGTCAGCTAACATTGCCCATTGTCGAGGAAGGCGATGACTAGGGATGCATGCGTAACACATGCCCTAACCATCTCAGTCGATGTAACTTCACCTACCTAGCACTCGACCGACTGATGCTTCACCTCAATGTTCCTCACCTTATTATAACACTTAACATGGGAGACGGAGCGCAGGCAGCTAATCTTTTCATGTCTTCTACTTCCAATGGCCACGTCTCACAGCTAGCCATAAAGACGGATGGAGCGAACTACTGAGCAGTACACACGCCCCTTGGTCGATAGCCAGCCAGCCGGGTATCACGTCTACTAAGCCAGAGACGGCGTAAACTGGCATATGCGAAACTAGCTCTCTGTATCCGTACATAGATGAGATTTCGTCAGCGACCAACCTGTTGGCACTGGCTGATGGTACTTCCCATATAAGTGAAGCGGTCAACGTGCTCCACCAACCAATTCACTCTCTATTTCTAAACTAGGAGTCAGTGTAGTCCAGTCCAGTCCTGTAACATCATCTCACATTGTGATTAATACATTCTGATTGTATTTATTTTCACAGGTCAGCCAAATGTTCAAGCCTATCCTACAGCAAATAATAATTCAGATAATGTGTGGAATTTAGAATCGACTTTAGGCGCTACCCTACCGTCTACATCTGATGCATATAATGAATCGAATAATCCATTAAGCCATAATCAACAACAGCATACTAATAATCATGTGAACACAACCAACAACACCAACACTGTCACTGCCACTCCAGCTACCAACACCATGACCAACAACAATGGTCACTTTGATTTTGATTTAAATGGGAATGTAGCTAATAATAATAACGACAGTTTCCAACAACAACAACAACAACCCCAGGCTGTTGCTTCTTCTTCGTCTCCTTCTTCTTCTTCTGCTCAAACCAATCAGGCCTCTTCATCAGCCAACGAATTGCAACAAGACCAACAACCTGTACGTAAACGAACTCCTGCTGACTTCTTAGGTGAACATCAAAAACTGGTTGATTTAGAAAAATTGGTTGAGAAAAATCCAGGTATTTATTTATTTTTATACCTATATGTTTTTGTGAAAACTATTTTTTTTTTTTTGGAAATTTCATACATTTATTCCCCTCATAGATGGATTTGAACAAAGCAAGAAATACAGGTTTAGCAGAATAAATTGGTATCATCACACTGTTTATTTCGTTGCCTTCTCGTCAGCTGCTTACAGGCCAAAGACATTAAATATATCTATAATTTTGAACGACTTTTCGACGTTCACATCATGACCGACCCGTGTCGAGGAGATGCCTGGCGATGGATGGCATTGTTTAAAGCCTTAGTTCGCTTTAGACGTAAGCTTTTTGGCACATGTTCAGAAAATCGTAGATATGCCCTTTCTGTTCTTCCAATGTAACTGCTCCCGCTGATATGTGTAAACTTGTATATACAGTTGGAGTTGTTAACTTGAGAAGGATATCTACCGATTTTTGATTGCACCGAAGGAGAGCAAGTTGTTCGATAGACGGGAACGAGCTTAGCTGCAGGATAGGCGATGGCTAGTGATGTACTCAGCCTTCTGCTGATCATTACTGCAATGTTTTCACTTTTATAATCAAGCTGAATGTAGATTGGCTTTTTACCCACTGTGATTTGTTAAAATTGTTTTTGTAGATGTATTTAATAATGTCTTCGCCCTGTAAACAGCTGACGAGAAGGCAACGAAATAAACAGTGTGATGGTACCAATTTATTCTGCTAAAACTGTAGTTCTTGGTTTGTTCAAAGCTTTTTTTCTTTTTTGTGTGAAGGATGAATTTATTTATTGAATATTTCAAGCTGTATTTTTCCGTGTTTGACAATCTACGATGAAAGATTTGGCTGTGGAGGAAGCGTATGTCAAGAAAGTACATCGTACCAATCAAAGCCACTGTACTCATACTCATGCAGCCGTGTTGTAAGAGCTTGCTAAGAGAGAGAGAGGGAGAGAGAAGGGGGATTGATATGATGACAACCAGTGGTATCCGTCATTGTCCGGGGAGTATGTGATTCCCTGTGTCATCTGTTTTTTCTGTTTAATTCTATCAAAGATGCACTACAATAGAATGAAAGGTCAAATGATTTCAGTGACTGACATAGGGATTAACGTGTTATCATCAAGGAATAGTCTTGTTGACCGAGAGTATATGGATGATAATAGTCCTCTTTCTAGGGGAGATGTTGATAAAATAGAGCACTGTCTTCTGAACACTTTGAGCTGCTGCAATCTTTGAATGTTTGGCATGCGAGATTTCCCACTGTCAAGAGTGTTCGGTGATGCTACAGGATTGGACTGCATTGACTCGTAACTTAAAGATAGATAGACAGGAGTGAAGTGGTGCCTAGTTAGTTCAGCGTGTTGACCATTTCACTTATTTGGAAAGTTGCGTCATCTTCGTCACGCATACAGAAGGCTTGCGTCGAATTTGCCATCTTTGCCATATCAAGCGTAGTATCTCCGGTTGGCTATCGATCAAAGGACGTGTGTGTGCTGCTTACCAGTTCTCTCCGTCCTGCTTTATGGCTGTGAAACATGGCCATTGAAAAAGGAAGATACGAAAAGCCAGACTGGCTGTCTTTGATCACAGCTGTCTGTGTTCTATCTCCTATATTAGCAGGTATAATATGATGAGTAAAATTCAGGTTAGGCGTCGAGTGTTAGGCAGAGAGATGAGGTTGTGAAGGGGAATCTGTTGAGATAGATAGGTCATGTGTTACGCGTGCATAGCCATCGTTTTTGTGTGTCTATGATTACTGACTGATTGACTGGTTTCAGCAAACAACTTTGCACAGATTTGTACCAGTTCTACTGGCCACAGTGCCTCCCTGTACCACACAAACCAAGAGAGGACAATAAATAGAGATTAGAAAGAGAGATAATAAAGAGAAGTGTGAGTGAGGCAAAAAGAATAGTTATATAGTGGAAGAACAAGAGAATTTTATTGGATATGATATATCATCACAAAGAGTGATTGCATCTGCGCCAGCGCCTGTCATCATCGAGAACAATTTTCAGCCAGCCTTACCACCAACTATTTCCAGCCAGTGTTTTGCCAGTTTTCGCGTGCCTCTAAGTGTTTGAGCTTGTGTTTGTGTGAAATTAAACATATAAATCGTCCACACCCGAAATCCAGACATTCTAGAGTCTTGTTGTTGGTCAGTGCAGTGTATTCCTGTCTTCTCACTCACTCACTCACTCACTCACTCACTCACTCACTCACTCACTCACTCACTCACTCACTCACTCACTCACTCACTCACTCACTCACTCACTCACTCACTCACTCACTTATTCACTCACTCACTCAATACCAGTGCAGTCTTCCTCATAATCCAATGTACCGCAATTAAGAATATCGTCGTTGGTGATAATAAGCAGACAGGCAGACAGCCAGCCAGCTTGTCTTACTTCTGTATTCCCCCACTTGAAAGGCATGCTTCTCTGAGTTTTCTGTTGCGGATCACCTGACACATGGCATCCCGTTAACTTAGAATAAGAAGATGATACAGTCCTCCCTCTTAGGTGAAGACGCTGAAAAAATGCAGAACACCTTTAGCTTCAACCTGCGAATGTTTGACATGCGAATGATTCGCTCCTGCTGCTGTCAAATGTAAGCTGATGTTACAGGACTGGACTGGACTACACTGACTCCTAGTTTAGAAATAGAGAGTGAATTGGTTGTTGGAGCACGTTGACCGCTTCACTTATATGGGAAGTACCATCAGCCAGTGCCAACGGGTTGATCGCTGACGAAATCTCATCTATGTACGGATACAGAGAGCTAGTTTCGCATATGCCAGTTTACGCCGTCTCTGGCGTAGACATGATATCCCGCCGCGTATTGACCAAAGAGCGTGTGTACTGCTCATCAGTCCGGTCCGTCCTCCCTAATGGCTAGCTGTGAGACGTGGCCATTGAAAGTGGAAGAGGTGAAAAGGTTGGCTAGCTGTCTTCGATCATAGGTGCCTGCGTTCTATCTCCCGTGTGTGCTAAGTGGTATAATAAGGTGAGGAACATTGAGGTGAAGCATCAGTCGGTCGAGTGCTAGGTAGATGGGGGAGGAAATCAATCGATAATGAGGCTGTGAAGTTACATCGACTGAGATGGTTAGGGCATGTGTTACGCATGCATCCCTAGTCATCGCCTTCCTCGACAATGGGCAATGTTAGCTGACATAAGACTGGTCAGGTTGGAAAAGAGAGAGCTAGTGGCGGTCAAACTAAAACATGGCCTCATCAGTTAACGAAATCCAGTTAGTTTAAACCACGCAGGAAGGTGCAGACTTCCTGACTGGTTGGGGTCTATGGGACGGTATAAACCAATGGTGGCTGGAAACAATTGGTGATATGGCTGGCTCAAAGTGATCGTTTTCACTGACTGGATGGCGTAGATGCATCCACTCCTTGTGACTTATGATTTCCAATGAAACTATATTGTTCTTCCTTATTACTATTTCTTTGTCTCACACCTCTGTTTACTGTCTCTATTATGCATTTCTTGTACTTTTTTCTCTTGCTCTGTGTGCTAGAAGGAGGGAGTGTGGCGAATTGAACTGATGCACATCTGTTCAGAGTTCGATGCTCGAAACAGATAGGCGGACAGACACGTGGCATTGTCATAACTGCTGAATGACGTTGATGAGATATACTACTACCCTGCCACAGTAGTATAAAGTTTCTCCCCTCAAGCAAAAAATATAACATTATTGAGAAAGGACATTGTGTAGTCCAGGGAGGGAGAGAGAGACAGATAGAGGTTGGGGGTGGATATAAATGACGCATGCATCGTTTTTTTTTCCTAAAAACTTAAGAAAGGGTTAAACTGTCATAAAATGTATTTACTTTAAGTAGTGCCAGTGTTTTGATTTTTTTGTTGTTGGTTTTTTTTGGTGAAGGTTTGTGAAGCACGTCTCTAACATAAATTCACCTTACATCAACTATGTGTAGACAGAAGATGATGATGATTACTCACAACACAATTAGGCCACTTTTTCTGTTTTTAAGCAGCACAAAATTGTGTGTTTGTGTAAATGACATGTATTCATTTACTATTGATCTGTTATGATATTGTCTATGTTAATTGCATCTATTCATATATATATATATATATATATATATATATATATATATATATATATATGACGCAACATGTGATCTGATCATGTGTTATATTGCTACGTGCACTTGGACTTCATTGTGTGTGTGTGTGTGTGTTTACTTGATAGGAAGACACAGAGGGGGAGAGAGAGAGAAGTAACTTACCTTATTTTTTCTCACATTCAGTAAAGCGTTTATCTATACAAAATGGCTACTATTGATTGATTATAGTGATTGTGTAATCATACGTGTTTGTGTGTGTGCGTGCATATATAGATACACACGCACTCATGCACACACACATACACACACCATTCACTAATATTTTTATACCATCAAGATAAAAACTGATGATAACCTACCTGATTATTAATAGTAGCTAGCCTTTTTTTACTTATCAGTAATTATGAATGTGATTGTAGTAATAGATTTGTGTTTGGTATTCAAATGTCGTTTTGGATTATTCTTGTTTTCCGTTAGAAAACTATTCTCTTAATCGATTTCAGTATGATAAAGATAATAAGTCAATCGACAAGGTTGTGAAGTGCAGTTACACCTGTTGAGGTGGATGTTTAGGAGTTGGGTGTTGAGCATTGACGCTTAGCCATCGCCTTCCCCTAGTGATGGGCGGGGTGGTGTTGTTAGCCACTGACTGGAATAGGATGATTGAGGTTGGAAAAGACGTAGTGGTGGTGGTTAAACGAAAACATAGCTGCATCATCAGTCAGTGAAATCTCCACAACAGTAAGTTTAAGCCATTCATGTAGGGAGGTGTAGACTGCCTTACTGATTGTCTGACTCGTTGAGGTCCTCGGGATGTTGCTGAGAACCGATGAAGACTAAAGAAAATTGGTGATAGGGCTGGCTCGAAATTGTTCTCAGTGATGGCTGGCGCTGGTGCAAATGCATTCACTCTTTGCGATGATTTATGATATCCAATAACACTCTAATGTCCTTTCTAATTACTATTCTTTTCGCCTCACTCACACTTCTCTCTATTATCTCTCCTTTGAATCTCTATTTACTGTCCTCTTTTGGTTTGTGTGGTACATGGAGGGAGTGTGGCCAGTGGAACTGGTACAAATGTGTGCGAAGTTCTTTGTTGATAGCAATCAGTCAATCAATTGTATACAGTGTAATTGGAATACTTATCTACCATGACTGCTGTGAGCCGCATATTTTGTCCTACCTCCTTCAAACGTCCCAAGGTGTTCTTTCATGGGGTGACTGAACACGATGTTTTCGGCTAAATATACTATGCAAACTTCTAGTGTAACAACAGAAGACAAGGGCCAGGCAACAGATCGTTTGTTTATTAAGGAAATCAACACATATCTACAGATCTTCATTTACATTATTATACATTATTGTTAACTGACAAACACAATCTTCTGATTGGTTGTTTTTCACAGAAAGTTAACCTTGCATCTCTTTGTGACTGTTTCTTGAATGTCAGATCATCTATATGTTAACTGTATCTGCGTCGGCGGCACAGTGGTTAGGACTCTCGTCGACCATGCACATGGCCCGAGGTTCGATTCCCTGCCGACATACACCTGATATCTATGGTCGGCCTGCGAAATTTGGGCTACCGATATCCATGCTGAAAATTCCATACTTGTACCAAAAATACACTGTGGAATCAAGCTGTAAGTCAAAATAAAATTTTTCTCACGACCAATATTGGGGACATAAACATAGATGTAAATTACTGTCCACCAATTTCGACTAACAGCCAGCTCTCACCACAACAGTAGACACGGAATGACACCAGATCGTTTTAACTTCCTTACATAGAATGTCAAATGAGGTGATAGCCTTCTGGAAACTAGCATAGTCTAGGAAGACGAGAAAAGGTAGTCAGAGGAAATGCCGCAGTCCAAGGTATTTAACAGCAATATTCGATTTAGTTTCAACTTCAGTGCCATGTGTGTGTGTGTGCTGATAGTGGAACTGTGCAAACTTACGAACTGCTCAAAATTCCACACTGTGTATCACTAGTAGTTTAATTGAATTTTTGATTTTCCCGTCGATTGATTGGACTGAAGTGCTTGGTCTCAGGCTGACATGTCTGTTGGCTTCTTGTAGTGTAGATGCTTCGACGATGTCTGGGCATTTAATTAATATTTAATTGATGGATGGTGACTAGCAGTGGAATCCAAATAGGACGAAATGCGCGTTATCCTGGATTCCACTGCTAGTCACCATCCATCTCTTAAATATCATGAGTACTGTTTTGCAGTAAAGCAGATTATTCCCATCATTATTATTATTGTTATTATTATGGTTTTCCGTATGCATTTCTTTAAAACAATGTTTGTTAATAGTACAACTTTTCTCACATTAATCTTGTTATTATTGTTATCCCGCATGTGTGTATGTATGTTTTTATGTATGTGTGTATGTATGTATGTAATAGCCTCAACGAATCCGTTTACAGTTGGCCCCAAGTCTATAACAGGCGCTGCATCGAATCCATTCATAGCTAATCAACCTATAAAACCATCGTTGAATCAGTTGGCACCAACACCAGCCGCCGCGGCTGCCGTCGCCGCTTTACCAGGACCAAGTTATTATAATCCTTCAGTGAATACTCCTATTGCTACTAATACTAATCCAATGTATTATCCGGTTCGACCTTATTTCGCTGCCGCCGCCGCTGCTGCTGCCGCTGCCGCTGCAAATGTCCAACCTAATTATGTTGTATCGATGAATTCCAATGCTGCTTGGTCTGTTCTAGACGGTTCCGGTGGCGGTAATATGATGCATCAACAACAGACAAGTAGCTTGAATCCATTTTATTGAAATTGTTTCTTCTGGTTTTGTTTGTTTTTTAATTTTTAATTTCAACGTTGTTATCACATATAACACTAATAATTAACTAACTGATTGGCTTATATATGATCACTACTCACCATCGCGTACAATCTGTCTGACACTCTATAATTTTGTTTGGAATCAGTTGCTTTTCTCTCTGTGTGTGTTTCTTATCTACTTTACTATTTCCTGTTAAATTTATTTACTTTCCTAAGAAACAGTGGTGAAATACCTCCAGACGATTCTCCATCTCTCTTATGTGTGATAATTTGCAGTGATATATCGAATGCCACTTGTATGCACAGTGTGTGTATGGATTTCAACATTTTTTGCAGACAATCAAACTGGAGTAGTGAGAGTGTTCATTGCTTTCTTCTTCTTTGTGTGTGTGTGTGTGTGTGTGTGTTAACATAGATTTGCAAAATAGAGTTGTCAGGGATCTTTCATTGTTCTTCAGTAAGCTGGTGATTGATTATATAACCCTCAACAATACACACATACATACGTCATCCACCTATCACCAATTGTCCATCCATCCATCTATGCATCCGTCTACAAATTTGCAGTTATATTTAGGCTCATTTTCACAGTATTTAAACGTAAACGTATATTATAACAGACATACACGATTTCGCCCCCTTTTTACTTCTCTGTTTTTGTGTTCCATAGTTTTTTTGTCGGTCTTGCTGATGTTTATTGTGTTCCTGTGAGTGTGAGGTCGGTGCGACTGACACCCCCACCGCCACAACTGTTACTGCTAATGTGCTACTTCTACCACTACTACGACTATTATTTATTTTAGTGATTTGAAATGACGAATCATCACTTTGTTGATTTTGTTTTATTATTATTTCTATTTTCTCTGTTAATACCTTTAAACATCGTTCATTTGTTTGTTTTTATGTATCTATGTATCTAATGCTTCGTTGGCGCGGGTCGGAGGTGGTGGGTGGGTGCGTGTGTGATACAGACAGAAATACAGTCAACACGATTTCTCCCCATTGTGGGGGATAATATGAATAATAATCTTCAGTATATTTCTTTCTCCTCTCTTTCTGTGTCTGTCTGTGTGTGTGCGTGTTTGTGCATGGCGTGGCGTTGTGTGGTATGTGATAAAAATTACACCAAGACTCTTGGAAATGTGTATTATCCAGTGGCGTTTTTCCCTTATTTTGACTTTTGTTTTCGCTTGCTGTTATTATAATTACTATTATAAATACTATTATTTTTCTCCTGTTAATTTCTGTGCCCGATTATCACATTTTAGTTGTGTAGTAAGTATTCCGCAGTCAGTAATCAAGCTCCGCCCCGCTCACCCCGCCTCCTATTGTGTGTTTATGCAGTGACAAGTACCTTCATTTTTTTTGTTTGTTTGTTCCGCGTTAAATATATGCGTGTTTGTGTGTGTATGTGCGTGCGGCTGCCTGCAGGCCTGTCTGCCTGCTTCCTTACAACTTATTGTCGTTGTTATCCCACTGAATGTTCGACGACGACGACGCCAAAAACAACAACAAGAACAGTGGCTAATATTATTATCGTCATCTGTCATGGTTACCATGCAATATGAATGAATGAATGAATAAATCAATGAAATCAATAGTGATCAATAATCCTTTTCATCAATCATATTGAAACAGTTACCTATGTCTTATATATATATATATATATATATATATATATATATATATATATATATATATATATATATACTTCTTTCACAATGTAATGCATACAGCACCATTTGACCCAACTACAATTACTACTACTAATGATAACAATAATAATAATGATGATACCAAAACAATTGTTTGTCAGAGTCTTCTTTATTCACAACTGGAATACAGGGAGGTGGAGGGCTTCGACAACCCCTAACCCAATTTCGGTCCTGTTGTCTACAGTCCACTCAGCGATCTGCCATTCCAATGTCACTCAGTGTGTATGCCCGATTCATCTTCATTTTTTGTTGAGCAATAGGTTCTTTACGTTGGCACGTTCATCGAGTTTGTTTTCTCACTGATAGGAGTTCAACAGTCTTCGTCATGTTTCTTGACTTGAAAGCGGTATTAGAACAAGACATATAAGCGAATAGTATTACTGTTTTCAATTAGATCTTCTTCAGGCTTTACTCTCGTTTACATAGATTTATATATAAACATTTTTAACCAATGACGGTGATTTGCGGATCAAATAATAATAATGTGGTCAATGTTTTAGAAAGTAGTTAATAACGATGATTATAATGATAACAAAAGTAATAGTGATAATAAGGTTTATGCAAGTGGCGACAAGAATAACGAATGCAATGAGTAATATGTGTATATGTAGACAATTCAGTAAATAAATAAATTAGGTCAAATCTTAAAAGTTACGTAATACTGAAGGTGAAGTGGACAGATAATCAGAGTTTAAATAATCTACATCATAAAAATACGAAGGAGATGGAAAATAAAATGGATGGGAAGGTTTTGAATATAATTCACCTAGGTTAGGCAAGGGACAGACAAAGGTAGAACAAACGTCTTTTGTATGCAAAGACTAGGATTGTTCTCTCGAATTAATTTCCATAGCTTCTTTGGCTATGTGTAAATTATGGGTTTGAAAGGCTCGATGGAATGCGATAGATAACTTTGAACGCACTATTTTTGTCCAACTGGTGACCGCTATCAATCAAATGAGCCAAAATAGAACTTCTTAGAGATTTTATTTGACTTTTTCCGAACCATTAAGGAAGATGCTCATTAATGCGTTTGTTAAGTTGTGTAGTTGTTCGCCCTGTTTTGTAATCATCATCCTTAATCATCGTTATTAATTGCGTTCAAAACATTTACCACATTATTATTATTTGATCCGCAAATCACCGTCATTGGTTAAAAATGTTTATATATAAATCTATGTAAACGAGAGTAAAGCCTGAAGAAGATCTAATTGAAAACAGTAATACTATTCGCTTATATGTCTTGTCCTAAATGGAAATATTTAAAGATTCGAAAGCAGTATTCGATTCCGTCGACCGAGAGAAACTATGGCACAAAGTTTGGCTGTATTAGGGTCTGCCGAGAAAGTATACATCGCACTAGTGTAGACACTGTACTCGTACTCATGCAGCGGTATTGGAAGAGCTTATGAAGAGTGTGTGAGAGAAAGAGTTGTTATCTGAAGTGATGTGATGATGACAGCCAATGGTGTCCGTTTGCGCGGGGTGATGATGTCCTGTTGGCTGGCTGTCGACCAAAAGACGTGTGTACTACTCACAAGTTCTCTCTGTCCTCCTTTATGGCTGACTGACTGGATGGCTATGAGACTTGGCCGTTGAAAGTGGAAGACATGAAAGCCAGGCTAGTTAGCTGCGTTTGTCTGTGTCTGTGATGTATCTGTCATCTTAGGTGTAGCAGACAGGTTGAGCGAGCAATATTGAATTGAGGCATCGGTCGGTCGAGTGTCAGGGAAGCAAGTGAGATAAGGAGGGGGAACCATTTGACGAGGTTGTGAAGCAGTTACACCGATCGAGGTGGATAGGACATGTGGTACTCGCGCATGCATGCCTGCCTAGCCTCGACAACGGGCAATATTAGCCACTGACTGACAGGATGGATGGATCAAGTTGGAAAGGAGGTTGCTAGTGGTGGTGGTGGTCAGACGAAAACATGGCCTCATCATCGGTCAATGAAATCCACTACAGTTAGTTTGAGCCAGCCAGTCAGTCACGTAGGGAGGTGCAGACTGCCTGTCTGGTTGGGGTCCTCGGGATGTTGGTGAGAATCAATGAAGGCTGGAGTCTTCTAAACACCTTGAGCCGCAATCTACGAATGTTTGGCATGCGATTCGCTCCCGCCAAATGCAAGATGATGTTACAGGACTAGACTGCAGCGACTCCTAGATTAGAAATAGGGAGTGAAGTGGTAGAGCACGTCGACCGCTTCACTCATTTGGGAAGTACCATCAGCCCCAACGGGCTGATCTCTGACGAAATCTCAGCACGAATACAAGGGGCTCGTTTCGCATTTGTTAGTTTACGCCGACTCTGGCGTAGACGATATGTTCGACTATCGACCAAAGGGCGGGTGTACTGCTCATCAGTCCGCTCGGTCCTCCTTTATGGTTGTGAGACCTGGTCACTGAGAGTGGAAGACATGAAAAGACTAGCTGTCTTTGATCATAGGTGCCTGCGTTCTATTCCCCGTGTGAAGTGGCATAATAAGGTGAGCAACATGGAGGTTAGGCGCAGAGTTCTAGGTAAACAGGGGAAATCAATCGACGAAGTCGTGAAGCTACAAAGACTGAGATGGTTAGGACATGTGTTACGTATGCCAAGCCATCGCCTCCCTCGACGAGCTATGTTAGCGGATATAGGGTCAGACTGGAAAAAAGCTAGCGGCGGTCAAACAAAAACTTGGCATCAGTCAATGAAATCCACAACAGTTGGTCTAAGCCACGTAGAAAGGTGTAGACTTCCAGGCTGGGGTCCTCGGGACGGTAAAAATCTATGGTTGGAAACAATTGGTGACATGGCTCAAAACCGTTCTCAGTGGCGCAGATGCATCCACTCCCTGTGACTTATGATCTTCAATGAAACTGTTTTGTATTTCTTTATTACTCCTTTGTCTCACACCTCTGCTCACTGTCTCTATTATGCTTTTCTTGTACTTTCTTCTCTTGCTTCGCGTGCTACACGGAATGTGGCGACTTGAACTTCCGCACATTTGTGCATAGTTCTATGTCGAAAACAGACAGACAGACAGGAGGAAATTGGTGATATGGCTAGCGCTGGTGCAGATTCATTCACTCTTTTTGATTTGTGATGTCCAATAAAACTCTCCTTTTTTTCTTCTGCATTACCATTGTTTTTTGTCGCTCTCATACTTCAGTCTATCGTCTCTCTGTCTGTTTTGAATCTCTGTTTATTGTCTTCTGTTGGTTTGTGTGGTAGATGGAGAGAGTGTTGGAACTGGAACCTGTGCACATAGCCAGTGAGGGAACCGGTTGTGTATATAGAAGGTTGTGAATCGTCATGTTTCCGACCCATATTGAAGAACTGATGACTTGACAGTGGTGTTAAAAATTCGAATTTTGTTGTTTTTGGTAGTGAGTTCAGTCGATTTCCTCAATTTGAATTCAAAGTTATTAAGATCCACCTTCCTGTAGTCCATTGATAGTGGTCGGTGCTTGTTGTTATTGTCACTGGTTGGTTGGTTATCTTCATTACCTCTGTCTTCTGCATGTCCACTTGAAGTTCTGTCTTTCCTCCTGTGACTACTGCGTCTTCTACTAATTTGTTGGTTTCTGCCTGTGTACGTCTTTGAATTTATTTGACGTTAGACGTAAGTCCTCCAAGAGGTCTAGATCTTCTGGAGTCTCCTCATCGGTCTAACATATTCCCGTCTTCTCGCACGTCCCCTCAAGGTGTTCCTCAAAATCTAGTCTACCGCGGTCAGGTTTAATTATCGTTGGTAATAGTAGTCAGCTTTCTTCTACTACTCTTATCTTAACCTCAAAATATTCACTGAATATTCCATTCTGGAACACTTAACACATGCCATCGTTATCATAGAGCTTTTGAATGAGTTTTATAAAGTTTTGAGGCTCCTTGCACTTTATAATGTTGACGTAGTAGGTTGAAAATGACTTCTCGGTCATCGGTGTTGAGGGCCTTTTTCAATGTCGATGAAGTTTTGGGCTTCGTATTCTGCTGCCATTCTATGAGTGTGCTCGATGATGATGATGCCTGCAGAGTTACAATATAATCGACATATAATTTTGCTTTTCCTGAATTCAGTGGATGTTTGCATTCACACAGGGCATACTTTTGTCTTTGTAGGATGACGCGACTTAATATTTTGCTAGGTATTGAAAGTAATTAGTAAGTAAGAGTATATAACATATAAATTGATAGGAAATGATTCATTAGTTTTAATTGAGTTTGCACGTTATCCGCAAGAGATGATGGTGCGCTGTTGTTTTGAACACAGTGTATTTGTGTGTGTGTGTTTGTGTGAGGGGGAATTATGTTGTATGTATCAGCCCCTGTCGAGATGTGTAATGTTCCATCACCACCTCGACTATACTTGAATTTTATTCAATTTGAAAAAGAGAAGACGTTAATGGAAGAGACTCTTTCCTACGGCGAATTCATTCACATAGCTGTACAGTCGCATTTATATATAATTATTTGAGTGTATACATCAGGTTTGTCAAGTTTAGATTATTAATCAGGTAATACAAGAATGATCTAATATGGAAAGAAGGTTAATTAGACAGCAACTAAAGTAAGATTGAGTTAGTTAGTAAGTTAGATGACGTAATATAATCGACTAAAATGTTTCAACTAAGGTCAGGGTAGCAATAGAAGTAATTACAGGTAGAGACTATAGTAGAAGTGGGGTAGAGAATAATGCCATTTAAATTAGAACTGAAATTGAGCAAATAAGTTGGATGACGTAATACAAATGACTAGTAATTGAGCGTTAGTCAAGTCAGTAACAGTGGTAATGAAGTGTATAAATTAAATCGGGTGAGGGGTTGAGAATAAGAAAGTTGAAAATGTAAAATATTACAATTGAGAAGACAAAATAATACTAATGAAGAGACAGACAAAAAAAGATTAGGTAGAATTTACTTGTCGGGTAATAAGATAGATTACGTCCATTGCAAGTGTAATGATTGAACGAACTTCTTC